CCCCAAAACCCCAAAACCCCAAAACCCCAAAACCCCTAATATAAAATAAAAAATTGTGTTAATAAGATTATTTAGGAACAATTCATACTAAAATGAGTCCTTCTAGAATTAAATTATCGATGCTACTATGAATGCTTACATTTATTGCGCTTTCGTACGCAGAGGATAGCCAAGTTGCTCCTATCCTTGTCATACATGGTGTAACTGCAACCTGTAATGAAGGTAGAGTCAAAAGTATTGGAGAGCATTACAACACATACAGCCATTGATATCCTATTGGAGGAGATGATGCCAAGACCTTGTCAGTGTTGTATAACATTAGAGTTCAAGGCAAAATCCTCTGTCATAAAATCCACAGCAATGAGAACTTCAAGGATGGTAATTTTAGTATCCTAGCTTTTTCGCAAGGTGCAATCATTGCTAAATATATTATTGGCTACTGCCCTCTGAAACATCCCGTTAGATCCTTTGTGGCATTTGGAGGTCCTAACATGGGAGTATCCTACTTCCCACATTATCCTGCAGACACATGGATTGGGGCTATCTCGCACATCATTATAAACAGACTTGCCTATTGGTGGGTTGCCCAATGGTTTATAGCCCCTGCAGATTATTGGAGAGTGCCTAATAACCCCCAGGCCTTCCTTGAAGGATCTAGGTTCCTTGCTGATGCTACAAACGAGATAAACTTCAATCAGACTATGAAAGATCTCTGGTTAAGCCTCAAATTTGCAAGATTTGTAAAATGGGATGATGACTCAGTTATTATTCCAAGAGAGTCATCATGGTGGGGTCAGTACACAACAGATTACAAAATTATCTCAAGATTTGACACAGAAGTCTACCAAAAAGACCTCGTTGGTATCAGAACTCTAGAGGAAGAAGGCAGAGCTGACTTCATTAACATCCCTGGCGACCATATGCAGGTTAGTCATGAACAGGTTAATCAACTCACTGAGGTGGCATTTTTGAAATAATTTATGTTATATTTCTAAGATGAGATCATCAGGAAATCCAATCAATTTTAGCTCATTATCCCGGGGTTTTGGGGTTTTGGGGTTTTGGGGTTTTGGGG